CAGTCATATGTGTGTGTATATTTACTTACAGAATAAAAAAATCTCCTTTGTCTGTGCAATATGGTTTATGGTCTAGTCTACAGTCTCTGGATTCAAAGAGAGCAGAGCTGGATTGGCCTTTGAGTCTGTCACAGATATGCTGGCCCTCCCGCAACCTCCTTAACATTATCAAACGGTAATGGTAGGCGGTTCGTGATAGGGCAAGCTGTGCTTAGGATTCCCAACCTTGCCAGGGGTCCCCTTTGAAGAGCTGTATTGCACACAGAGTCCAAAGAAGGCAAAGAGCATAGACCAAGGAACCAGGACCGCTGGGTTCCAATCTCTTTACTAAAGACAATTTACTGTTGACCTTGGGTGCTAAGTGACAGGAGGTGCTGAGGGTGCAGAAGGTTAGGAGGTATGGCTCTCCCTCCTGTCCCAGCTCCACCCACCCTTTTTAAACACTTCACTTGAATGGAGGATGGTCATTCTGGAGACACCAAAAGGTCCTGCCAGCGCCAGGCTAGAGTGAAGTCATTGGATTTCCCAAGTTGGCAGGTAAAATAAGTAGGAACAAGACCTTCAAATGAGTACATACTGGTTATCTACACACCCACAGGATCTCCGTACTATTGAGCTGGTACCAGGCTATGTTTTCCTGACATCTGTAGTCTGGCTTTTTTTGTTTGTTTATTTATTTATTTTTTGATAATTAATTATCCACTGAAATTCTTACTTGCTAAATTTGCTCCAGAGATAATATCTCAAAATATCTTTTCATGTCTTATAAACCACTTTAAAAAGAAAACCTTACATATTTTATTAACCAGGCTTTCTTAGTGTATGTGTGCCTCCATCTGTGTGTGTACACACAAGTGGAGATGAGACGGCAACTCCGGTGTGGTTCTGCAAGCAACAGTCATTTTTTGTTTTTGAAAGGGGGTCTCTGAATGGCTTGGACATTCCAAGTGGGCTAGGCTGGCTGGCCATCATGCTCCAGGGATGTACCTATCTCTGCCTCCCCCACTGCTGGGATTACAAGTAGATGCCTTGAGGCCCAGCGTTTAAAAGCGTGAGTTCTAACAGAGAACTGCCTGACCATTTTCAACTTAGCTAACGAGGGCTGACAAGGGCTGGAAATAGAGCTTACAGTGCCCTGACCACAGGAGGCTCAGAATGCAGCGTCATCACACACAACTTGTGCGGTGAAAAAGTTTATGAATTGAAAAATGTGCAGGACAGGAGGAAGCAAAATAACGAGGGGAGGTCTGACTCACAGAAGCCGGTGTTGCCATAAAATCAGAGCTGGTGTGTGTGTGTGTGTGTGTGTGTGTGTGTGTGTGTGTGTGTGTGTG